TCCTTCGAGCGGCGTTTGGGGTGGGTGTCTCTGCAGCCTGACTTTCGTTCCACTCGCCCCGCGGCCCTTGCGCTGACGCGCGCTCCCGCGGCGGGTGCGCGCTGACCGCGCTCGTCCTCGGTGGTCGGCGTGCGGGTGTGCGCGCGTCTACGGGTGGCGGGAGGGGCCGCGCCGCCCGTCCTCGGGTCTCGCCCTCGCGTTGCGGAGCCCTGCGACCCCCCGTGCTGGGTGCGCGCTTTCCCTTCTCCGCCGCTCGCGCCCCGTGCTCCCCTCGCCCGCCTGCCCGCCCCCGCCCCGTCCCTGTGCCGCGGTACACGTCGCGGGAGGCGCTTTGTGGGTGCTCGGGGAGCTTGGGGGTCTTACGCGGTGCGGTGTCGCCTGCAGGCCTGACAGCCGGGAGGAGCCCGCGGGAGGATGCCGTCCGAATCCTTCTGTCTGGGAGCCCAGGCGCGACTTGACTCCAAATGGCTGAAGACGGACATACAGGTGGGAGCTGTCGTGCTTCTCGCTTGGGGTGTAGCTGCCCCGCCCTTCAAGTTTCCAGGCGAGGCTTTGCGGGGGCTGCGTAGGGGCCTTGGATCTTGTCTGGTGGAGAAGCAGGTTTATTTCCTGTGTCCTGAAACGTTTATGGCAGTTCCTGTAGGTTGTGTGCGGCAGCGTTTTCATTGCCGTTCTCGTGGGTGCAAGAAACTTCAGACCTTGCCGTGTGGAATTTGTTCCCATTGTTATTACTGGGTACATCTCTGCCATTCTTAACCACGTCTTGGTCGCTGTTCCCTGTCCTAGGTGGTTTTTGAGGTGTTCGGTTACCCGTGTGGGGAATAGTGCAGTGAGATTAACTGCCTGCAGAAACTCACTTTAAGGGATCTGTGTCTGTGTTTTTGGAGAGACAAGAGTTAACTGTAATTCAGTCGAGCTGTTTGCTGTATATTTATGACAGGCCTATTAAAAGGAGTGCTCAGATGTTCACATTAGGGACATGAGCAAACAGAGCGTTGGCCTTAGGCTCTAATGTTTGATTTAGTGATACAATTGCAACCTTGCCTGGAAATCATCAAGTACATAATAACAGTAATGTTTCAGTAGGTGAGTCTTTACTCCTAAACTAGTTTTGTGAATGGTTTGGAAAAACATCTTTCAGAATTTGACTTTATCCCCAGCAAAAAGAAGTGTCTGAAATATTTTGTAGTATATGTGTTGTTTTCTCTTCCTCCAGGTTAATCATTATAAGTATCTGTTAGGTAATCTAACTGCTGTATTAGTGTTACATGCGTTATGGCTTTATCAGGAGTCATATGGTCTGTAAGCAGTAGCTGATTCTAGATATTTGAAGTGAAGCGTTACTACCTCTTCCTAGTTGTTTCTTTTAAACAGACATTGAGTGTCAGTAGCGATGAGAGCAAAGTTTTTACAACTATGTTGTGGAAGATGGGATTGTTTTTAGTGGTAATGGTATAGGTGAGACTGCACAGGACTGGGTCACGAGGTAGGGTAGTAGTTATGAGTCCAGTGTCTTACACAGCGTTTGGCCCTTCTTGGACATTTTGAACATTACCCACAAGTCCTCCAAATACCACCCAGAAATAAGTGTAGAGATTAGGTTTTGGACGGTACATCAGGAGAAATGTGCTACTGGTATTGTAGTTATTTAGTGCAGAAAAAGTGATTGTTGAGCTTTTGTTTTATATAATTTCTCCAGTATTGCTTATTAAATGTGAGGAATGGCAATTGTTTTATCCTAGGGAATCAGACATAGTTTCACTTTTCGAGGTTCTTCTAGCAGACGCACATTGTGGATGAAAAGCTTGTGCTGACACTATCTTGTTAGGGTTGGCTCTTCTACCTGGAGTTGGGGATCCTACTTGGGGCTTTTGTATTGGAAACAGAATTGACATCTGGTTAATGAATAATATGTGGGAAAGACATGTATGTGTAGAAAAATATTTCATAGGATTTAGCCACTCTGTTTTCTTTTTTGTACTGGGAATCGAACTCAGGGTCTCACAATTAATTGCCAGGCAGGCACTGTGCGGCACCGCTGAGCTACCTTCCTGGCCCCTAGCATCTCTATGTTCAACAAGGTATTTTTGTTTAAAATGCTCAAGATTCAAAGAAAGGAAAAGTTTTGGGAAAGTGAAAGTTTTCAATGTGTTTGTATTATAAAGAACACTGTTCCATAACTTCTTTTTTTTTTTTTTTTTGGTACTGGGGATCAAACTCAGGACCTTGTGCTTGTCAGGCAGGCGCTTGCACCACTGGGCTATCTCCCCAGCATTTTTTTTTTTTTTTTGGTACCGGGAATTGAACTAAGGACCTTGTGCTTGCCAGGCGGGCACCTGTGCTGCTGAGCTATATCTTCTGTGATAAGTTCTTGACTATAGATGTTAAGATGCACCAAACTAGCTCTATTTTTGGTTTGTTTGTTTGTTTTGAGACAAGGTCTTGCTTTGTAGCTCAGACTGGTCTTGAACTCGCTATATTGTTTAGGCTGCTGTGATCCTCCTACCTCAGCCTCCGAGTGCAGGCATTACAGGTGTGTACCACCACACCTGGCTTCCTTCACTATTCTCTTGTAAAGGCAGTAAAAGAGCTCAGAGTGCTAGCCACGTCACTATTTTTTGTAAAGTTCTACTTCACATGACTGGGGATTTTTCAGTGAACCAAAAAGGAACATAGGAACAATAAAAAAACAGTACATTATGGGCATGTTTTAATCACAGCTACTCGGGAGGTTTAGGCAGGAGGACTGTAAATTTGAGTTCAGTTTGGGAAACTTAGTGAATCTCAAAAATAAGAAGGATGGGATGTAGTTTAGTGCTTCGTAGGTTCAATTCCCGTTATGGAAAGGAAAAAAAAGCATGTGATTCCCTAAAGCTTTTTATTTTTTTTTAAACATTGGCATGTTTATTTGCCGTTTGTTTTTTTTTTTGTTTTTTTTTTTTGAGACAGGGTCTCACTATGCAGTGTAGGCTGGCCTTTAACTCACTGTGTATCCCCAGGTAACCTCAAACTCACAGTGATCCTCCTGCTTCAGCCTCTTGAGTGCTAGGATTATGCCACCATACCCAGCTTATTTGTCAATCTTGATGCAAGGTTGAGGGCATATATTTGAGTATGGGTCCAGAATGGAAATAATTATTCTGTTCTTTCTTGCATCAGCTACACTGTGAATTTCCTATAGTTTCTATTTTTGGGTCCTGTGAAGTAGCACATGAAATTAGATATGCATGAAGCAACTTTTAAAAAAACTTTATTTGAAATGATAATAGATTCAGAAGTTGTAAAGAAAGTAGAAAGGTCACTTTGTATCCTTAAGAAGACTTCCCAAGTGGTTACATGTTATGTAACTATGGTTACAGTGTCAAAACTAGTGAATTGTCATTGGTACAGTCTGTACATGGAGTTCTGTGCCATTCTGTCACGTGTCTGCTCAGGTAGCCACCACCACAATTGAATACAAAACTGTTTCATCGCCAGAATAATCTCCCTGGTGCTACCTCTCTGTAGTCACACCCATTCTCCATCTGCCACAGTCCCTAACCCCTGGCAACCACTGATCTGTTTTCCATCTGTATAATTTTGTTATTTCAAGATTATCATATGGTATGTGGCTTTTGAGAGTAGCTCTGTTCACTTGGCATAGTTTCAGTGAGTTCCATAAAAATTACTGAGTGTATCAGTAATTAAACTCAAGTCCACTTATTTTTCTAACATTCAGTTTAAAATGATTAAGCATAAAAGTGAACATTTAAGGAGGGCCTAGTAGAGCTGGGGATGTGGCTCAGTGGTAGAGTTCTTACCTTACATGCACAAGGCCCTGGGTTTTTTTTTTCCTTTTCTGTTTTTGGTACTGGAATTGAACTCAGGACTTTACACTTGCCAGGCAGGCACTTGTGCCGCTGAGCTATATTCCCAGCCCAAGGCCCTGGGTTTGATCCCTAGCACCGCCCCCCGCCCCCCCAAAAAAAAAATCTGTAAAAGGGCATGGAGGTGCATTCTGTAATTTCAGCATTCTGGGCGTCTGAGGCAGGAGAATTAAATGTTTAAACCTAGGCCTGGCAGTTTAGTTTAGTTAAGGTTTAAGACCTTATCTCAGGCCAGGGATATAGCTCAGCGGCATAAGCGCCTGCCTGCCAAGGGCAAGGTCCTGAGTTCAATCCCCAGTGCCAAAAAAAAAAAAAAAGACCCTATCCAAGTCTCAGAATAAAAAAATAAAAAAAGGACTGGGTGCAATATGCAGGTCCTAGGTTCAATTTCAAGTACAATAGAAAGCAAACTTTTTATTGAATGTAAATTTAAAATCTAGTCAATGTAAATATTGTTACTTTATTTTTTATTTATTTATTTATTTATTTTTAAAATTTTTTTGGGACTAGGAATTGAACTCAGGACCTTGTGCTTGCCAGGCAGGAGCTTGTGCTGCTGAGCTATATCCCCAATCCAGTATTGTTAGATTAAAAAGTGTAAGCATAAATGGAAGTTCATTCTTGGGGTTTTGACTGAGAATCTAGTTGACTGATGACACGTGAAAATAAAAATGTAGTAAACGTAAGTAACTTATTTGGTGATTGTAGGATTAGATTTTTAAGAAGTGCTCTTTAATGCCCAAATATAGCTTCCTGAATGGAAAAATTTTTGTTTACAAAATTCCATGATAAAATAGTTGGTTTTTTTTTTTTTTTTTTTGGTACAGAAAATTGAACTCAGCACTTACTAGGCAGGTGCTACCGTGCTGAGCTATACCCTAGCCCTTGTATTCTTGTATATGACATTTTTCAGGTTAATTCAAGGCTTTATCTAGCATCGCTAATTTGGATGTTCCTTTGCTGATATTAATGAATTCTTCAAATGGAAACTTGACTCTACTGTTTTAGTTTAAGGAAGAAATCCAAAAGATGGAATTTCTCACTGTGCTTTTCCAGTAGTAATTATATCTGTCCAACTGAAGCCCTTTTCAGTGTCAACCTTTGGTAGAGAATGGGATGGGAGTGATAAGAAAGCAATTATAGTTTTGTAAACTTCTATCTTATCTACAACTTTTTTTGATCTTTGTCTTTTTTGAGACAGGATTTTGCTATGCAGTTCAGACTGGCCTTGAATTCGCTATGTAGCCCAGCTGGCCTCAAACTCAAACCAGTTCTCCTGCCTCAGCCTCCTGAGTGCTGAGATTATAGGATTACACTACCACGCCCAATTCTCATTAGCTGTAAAGTTTAAATAGAATGCTAAAACTAAATTATGGTAAAATAATGATGTTTTTTCAATTTAGAATTATATAACTTTAATAGTTTTCAAGTGTCCCCTTATAGTAAAATAATAATTCTGAGTGCAGATAATCCTTCTGTATAATGTGCTTTTCCTTTACAGTTTCCGTGTTTGTGTTTTGAAGTTTTTAAAGTGAATATGCATGCATATCATATTCCCTGTTTTCATTTATTGAAGTGGTATTAGGTAGGTTTTTCTTTTTTGTATGTGAAATACTAATT